TGAAGATGCCAATAAACTCGGGTTGAGATCAACCGCAGATGAAGGAGAAGCAAACCAGAAGGAGAAAATAAAAAAAGTTATCGACCTCAAAGGTGACTATGATAATAGGCTGCAGTTACAAGTCGAATACAGCTTGAGGGGTTACTCAGGCCCTATCAGAGCCTATTGATTATAATGGTAATTAAAATAGTAAGATTTTGTAAGCTAAGACACAAAAGTATCAAATTTTCAATGCAGATACATGGATTCCTCATGGGAACTGGGGACTCATAATTTTTTCTTTGTCCCACGCTCGTGACAAGACGGAAAAAAACATCTTTCTTAATCGATCATTTATTTGACGAAATTGTTAGAAATAACACACAGTAAAGATGTGCAATCTCCTTCATTGATTAATTATATCAGCATAAGTTGATCACGTGGTAATTTCTGTCATGGCAGATCTACGCATGGTACAGCCGGGAAGACTCGTGTCCAATGCTCTTAAGTACTCCGGCCGCAGACGTAAAGTTGGAGTCCATCAGAGTGGTAACCTGGAACGAGTTGCCTCCGTCATAACTGCTAAACGAGTCTACAACTTGGAATTCATCGACTACTGCGATTTAAAAGCGTTCTACAACACGATAGAGACTGTATTTGCCGTTAAATTATTAACCACTTGAATTTTTCCTTTATTAGAGTGAAACACAGCCTTTACGTTGAAGAGGCTTATGTATAATTTATTAACTAGGTTATTGTTAGAAGGATTTAAGCATCTTACGAATTCATACAGATATCAAGTTATGTTAGAGGTAACCTAGAAAACGTGAAAGGAATTCAAAATTCGAATATCAAATTAATCGCAAGACATTCACTCAAAGTGATTGAAAGTCCTTAAACGTAAAGCTCTGGAACAATCCAACATCAGACTGGGACGTAGGATCATAGTTCCTAAAGAATCTGTGGTGCTGCGTCGGTGGGATAGTATTAAAGGGTAATTTAGTGTTATCAACCTAATTAATAACGTAAACTGGCCACTGTAATAGTTTTAAAGCTGACGTTTCGAGCGTTAGCCCTGCGTCTGAGCGAATGACAAATGGCTAACTGACGAAGATTCGTGCTGACAAAAGGGGCTAACGCTCGAAACGTCAGATTTAAAACTCTTTAAGGTGGCTAGCTTACGTTATCAAAACACTTGATATATCCCTAATTACCCTGTTGTGACCTGGAAAACTTACAAAGGTAATGTGGTCAGCTCTCCTATTTGGGATTAGTTGGCTTTATGCGTCAAGAAAAGTCAGTGACAGTTTAGCGATAAGTTTTCAAGCTTTTACTTTTCGAGGTCTTCCTTTCGAGGTCTCGGGTCTTAGCCTTATTATAAAGCGCGCAGGAGGCAATTAGAGCACGAAAGAAGTGTAGGGGGGAAACACGAGACTTTGTCAAGTGTTTTCCCTAATCTTTTCGGAAGATGGCCGATAGCAATTGGCAGATAGCATAGCAGCTCCATGTTTTTTACTCAAATAAAAACGCTCCTTTAACCAATGACAGCGCGCTTTAAACCCGGACATTATTGTAAATATTCATGAAATTGCTCTAGATTATTTCCTCATGAACTTCTGCGAGCGTGTGGAAATTTCCTCTTCCGTGCTTATCACACATTGTTTTAATAAAAAATCCCCTAGTGATTCCAAGTCGATCAAAGAGCTACATCAATCTTTTAATCTTTGAAATGGAGACGAAAATATTGCTCTAGTAAATAGATTTGTTAATTATGTCGAATCTCTCGTAGCATCTAAATAATACTGTTTCAACACTTTATTTTGGTTCGCCTGATGCTTGTTTGTTTGTTACCCTAATCATTTGAGGATTTTGAAATCCACTTTGTAGTAGTATCAAAATTCTAGGCGACTAACATAAACTGATAGCAAGCGATAACACTGTAGATTTATTCAAGTCAGGCATAACGTTTTGAAAATTCTTTCGGCAATTGTTCGTTTTAAAACGACGAGGCTAAAAGCAACTGTTAAAAGACAAAATTGGCATCAAACAAGAAATTTCTGTAGAATGTTTATGTGATTCTACTTTATTTAAGTGTTGGGAAAATGAATGGAAATAATTTATCGTAAGCCATTTAGTAGAAATAAAAAAAGCCAGCTGAATATCCCCCATTACATTAACGACCTCACTTTCCAACTATAGCGACTGTTACATTCAGAAAGTATGCCAAACAAAACAAGAACAGGATGTGAAACCACTACAATAGGCGTATATGTAAATGTTAGAATGACCCTGGGGGCGGGGTGCGCCGTTCATTTCTTTGAGTGGTTACCCTTGCATAGAAATGGTCCGTGATTATAGAGATGCGCGCTCGCTGTGGTGTGAGACTGTCATGGCGGTCGGACGTGGTTTGTTCTGATCCGCCATGGTTTTCAATTTAGCCCATAACATAACTCCATTCGAATATCTAAATTGAATGCCGTTAGTTGCCTGCTTTTCTGACCGTGAGAACTCTGGGTACAGAATAGTTTCAACGCAGGGGGTCTTGAAACTGTTAAAAACTTCGTGGGCGGCTATGGAGGACTTTCCTGGTAAGTAACTGTTTTCTTTTCGATCTTTTAACATCCGTGCTTATCCTTGCTAAGGCGTAAAATCTTACAGCACGTAAAGAGAGACTGAATGGAATTACTAAATGAACACCACCGACTGGAAGAAATTACGCTGTTAGTTACTGGCGTAAAGTCTTACATATATACATCAACAACTGCAAGAAATGACGCCGTTAGTTACTGGCGTAAAATCTTATATATACGTCACCGACTGGAAAAAATTACGCCGTTAGTTACCGCTGTCATTGGTTGAAGGAGCGTATTTTACATGGAGCTGCCATGCTATCTGCCAATTGCTATCGACCATCTTCCGAAAAGATTAGGAAAAACACTTCATCAGGTCCCGTGTTTCCCTCGTACACTTCTTTCGTGCTCTAGTTGCCTCCTGCGCGCTTTATAATAAGGCTAAGACCCGAGACCTCGCCGTTAGTTACGTAGGTAAAATCTTTCCAACTGGCGTATAAACTAACAGTATGAATTTATTACGGACAGGCCCTGCTTCTAATTCAGCTAACTGAATTTTACGCCAGTAACTAACGGCGTAATTTCTTCCGGTCGATAGTATTTATATGTAAGATTTTACGCCAGTAACTAACGGCGTATTTCTTCCAGTCGGTGATGTATACATGTAAGATTTTACGCCAGTAACTAACAGCGTAATTTCTTCCAGTCGGTGATGAATATATGTAAGATTTCACGTCAATAACTAACGGCGTATTTCTTCCAGTCGGTGATGTATATATGAAAGAATTTACGCCAGTAACTAACGGCGTCATTTCTTCCAGTTGGTGATGTATTTTAGTAGAAATAAAAAAAGCCGGCTGAACATCCCCCATTTCATTAATGACCTCACTTTCCAACCATAGAGACTGTTACATTCAGAAAGTATGCGAAACATTAATCTTTTAATCTTTGAAATGGAGACGAAAATATTGCTGTAGTAAATAGATTTGTTTAGGCGTATATGTAAATTTTAGAATGACCCTGCGGGCGGGGTGCGCCGTTCATCTCTTTGAGTGGTTACCCTTGCATAGAAATGGTCCGTCATTACAGAGATGCGCGCTCGCTGTGGTGTGAGACTGTCGTGGCGGTCGAACGTGGTTTGCTCTGATCCGCCATGGTTTTCAATTTAGCCCATAACATAACTCCATTCGAATATCTAAGTTCTTCTCTGTCTCACTGTGACTTCTTGGATAAGAACGGTTGGTGTAAATCGAAAAGAGCTGTTCCTGTTACACAAACAACGTAATGACACTATTGCTTATACAATTTCATTCTGAAACCAATATTTTTCTGTCAACCAAAGTGATTTGAGAGAGAGAAAAGAGAGGATTCATAAGTTATTTATCGGCTTGAGGTAGTGATCGATGTGTTTGCCCGAAAATACTACCCAGCCGGAAAAACGAGATATATTTATGAAAAATGGTAACGAAAGTTGAGAGAGAGAGTAATTAGCATCTTGGCATTTCATTTATATTGGTATTTTAGTGTCATCATAACTCAATATTTCGAATTTTGTTATTCTTACTACAACCCCCATGCTTTGTAGCTGTAACTTTTATCGTGTTGGCCGAATTAAGGTCATCTATCTATCTTTCTATCTATCTTTCTATCTATCTTTCTATCTATCAAGAGGCGTACTAGAACAGCCAAGAGGGGCTACAGAAAACGTGGATTACTTCGAAGTACATGGACAGGTACCATAATTCAGTGGTGATGTAGTGGAAGTCAACTCTGTAGAGGACCAGGCCAACCTTCAACCAGGCCACAAAGTGTACGAGAAAATTGAGAATTGGCTCTGTGAAATCTAATCTCAATCACATAGAATCTGCCTCTGATCTTGCTGCGCTAGCTTATAGGGCCATCCTGCGGACGATACGAGATAAGACGCTTGTACCAACTATCAACGTTAAGGTGTTAGCAGAAAAAGGGCTTACTTTGAAACAAATTCGTCAGCCTTAGAACATGGTAAAAGGCTTACAGCGAATGGCAGCAGGAAACTCATTCGGCCGTGGTGGGTCAAATGTGCAAGTTTTTCTTAGTGAAGCTACATTAACGCCAAGCTTCGAAGTTGAAAGCTTCAAACGCAAGAATAATGTTATCACAATTACAGCACGTTCTTTAAAAGCTCTAAAGAAGCTGTCATATCTCTACTGTGAGTGGATTAAAGACAACGCTGAAGAAATGGATGAACATTTTGTGGAAAACTTATGTTACTCTTTCAATGAACACCGAAGCCTTTATCCACATCGCTTAGCACTTACCTTTGGAACCGCTTTCGAAGCATCCCACTCACTAGAAGCTTTTGCTGATGACTTCGCTGGTTGGCAAACATTCGTCGCTTACGCCAAAGTGACCTCAAGTGATAGAAAAGTTGTTTTCATGTTCGGGGGTCAGGGATTAGAGTGGTATGCCATGGGAAGGCAGTTAATGGAATATGAAACTGTTTTCAAAGAAGCTATTTTAACAGTGGGAAGATTACTAAAAGATGTGGGAGAAACGTGGTCACTTGAAGACGAACTGATGGCGCCAAAAGACGTCTCACAAATGACAGAGTGCTACATTGCTCAGACGGCCACATTTGCTGTCCAGTACGCAACCGCACAGCTTCTTAAGTCCTGGAAAATTCTTCCGTCTGCTGTTATAGGTCAAAGTTTTGGAGAGTTGGCAGCTGCCTGTGTTTCTGGAATCATAACTGTCAAGGAGGCACTTCAGCTGGTAGTAATTCGCTCCACTCTTCATGATAGCTGCCCAAAGAATGGAGGAATGGCTGCCCTGGGCTTGTGTGAGGCAAAAGCCAGGGAGTTACTTTTAAATCTAAGGTTAAACGCCACCCTTGACATAGCAGCAGTTAATGATGCAGACGGTGTTACTGTAGCGGGTGATTTGAAATTCATCGAAGCTCTGGGGGAACATCTATCGGTGAACGCAAGAGATGTTTACTGGCGCGTTTATGGAACAAATCGTGCATTTCACAGTTCACAGATGGAACCCATCAAAATCCCTTTTCAGGAAGCTTTGAAAAGGGTTCAACTAAAGCCTCAGTTATCAAAGATTCCGATGTATTCTTGCGTTGAAGGCGAAATTGTCTCAGGTCAGCAGTTAAACAGCGATTACTGGTGGCGAAATATTCGCTGTCCTGTTCGCTTCTATTCAGCAATGAAACACCTACTACGGGATGGTTACAGGCAGATAATTGAGATAAGCATGCAGCCATTTCTTTTCCGCCACGTGAACCGGATAGCTCTTCAGGAAAATCTAACGGAACGGGAAAGGCCCGTTGTTTTTACAACTCTTCCTCATAAGACAGTGCCAATCGAGGACCAACACAAATATTTCCTTCAGAACACGGTATGTAAATTGTTTACAGTGGGATTTCCTATAGACTGGAACTCGGTGGAGGGGAACCGATCAGCGAGGTTCATCCGGTCCGAAACATCTCCACGGCTGGAAAGCAGCTCTTGTTACAGGGAACATCCACCACAACCAAAAGAGCAACCAATTAGTTCCAGAGAAACCATTAAGAGGCCAACTCATCCTTATCTATCAAAAGTCAAAACGACCGACTTATGTTTAAGACTACACTGCTGGGAGACTGAGAATGATCTATTAAACATTACATCTCTGAAGAACCACGACCTAATCGAGGGAGGTGCCGCTATGTCTGGGGTTGCTTACCGGGAGATGGCCTTTGCAATGGTAAATGACAAATTTGTTCATATCCTTAGCCTGGATCTGGGTAATGTGAAGCTTTCAAGTCCTCCCACTCTTCCAAAAACACAGGTAACTACAGAAGACTCGTGAATTCGAGTCAAGCTGTAGAAGATAAAATGAGTTTACCTTGTCTTAGTGTTTTTTGTAATTTAGGTTGGATCCTTAAGTCCCCGCCTTTTAACGACAGGCAGCAGTGAGAATTGGGGTGAAGTGCGTAACCCTGCTGCTCCGTACGTTCAGCTGATCGTCAAAGAACAGCGCCATGGATCATATTTTCTCGGAGAATATTCATATGGAAGGTTCCAGAGTGTGGAGTATCCCGTGATTGACACACTTCCCTGGTCATCGCGTTCACAGAACATAACCATTAGGTTATTTTCCATTACGAAAGACGGACGACTGACATCGCGACACGTTCAGGTACGTACAATAGCTCAAAATTACTTTAAATCATATTATGTTGAGCTATTGTCTTTGAAATAAGTAAACCTCTCGTTCACAGACACCTTCAAAGAACTATCTCCTACATAAAAATGAGTAACTCTGGAAATTGGTGGCCTTGGGTTTTGTAGACACATCTCATTACTTTCGCCTCATCTGGTGACTTAATGTTTAGAGTGATTATTATGAAATCATTATTTTTATCACGTGGGTTTCGAGTGGAGCTAAGTGTGACGGTGAATGTCAAATGTCTCCCCATAAGTGGACCGACTTGATAACCATAAATTTCAATCGGCCTAAAGCTATTAAGTGGCTTTGTTGGACATTAACAGATGTTGTTGATCTCTATTTAGCTCCAATTTAAAGGCTATTTGAAAAAACTTGCAGTAGTAGACAAATGAGAGAGATACACTATCAAGACTGGATCATCGATAAATTACATAATAAGCTATACTAATGGTCTTACTTCCTACATTTTAAAGACTCTAAGAGAAGCTCTCCTGAAGAATCAAACTATTTTCAATAAGGAGTACCAAGAATGGCAGCCTGCTGAGGTAAGAGGTACTCTTACTGAATAAGGAATATCCCCACAGTAAGTTATTCAGGGGCAAGCTGTGCAAATGCCATTAGCACAAGGAGAAGAGTACCAAGCCATAAATTGGAGACATGCTTACAAAAGGAAAATAACTTAGACAGCATTTTTGCATGCTTTATCTTCAATAGGTTCGAAGTCCTCTCTCATTTCTTAAATGCCAGAATAATAGATTTTTGCCACGTAATCCCACAACATATGGCATCGAGGAAGTCTGGAGCCAGTTAGTAGATAAAGGTAGCACAGTACTCGTTTGTCCTGGTGATCATTACTCCCTTAGTGAGTTACCTCGAGCGCAAGTAACAGGCGGTATCTTAGCAACTGCCCCGGCCATCAACTGCTGCATGTTGCTACCAGAATTGCCCACACTTCCAATAATGTTTACCCAAAGACGTGCTGTGGAGAAACTTTCCGGCGGTGTACATGTAGGCGTGTTCCTTCACTCAAAGAGAGGTAATCTAAAAAGAAACGCCTGGACCTTTAATTAAAGGAGCATGATTTATTTTTTTCTTTCAAATATGATCAGTGTCCAAATTCATGCAGGAATTTCGTTTGTTTCACTGCTTCTCTAAAAATCCACTTTGGCAACGAAATTGACTTTTTCACTAGCTTTTCCCACGCCTCTAATTTTTTTTCATTTTTTCATGGTTGGCCATTTCAACCACAGTTTATGGTTTTGGTTTAACAACTTACGATCAAAAAGTACCGTAAAAGAAGGTTTTACAAAACTAATCCATGAATTAGATATTTTGCCTATGGTTTCTCAGGGTTTCTTTCTTTCCAATCAACGAATTAAAATTGCCAGAGATCTGCCACGATAAAGAATATGATAAGACGGATAAAAGTATCCTGTTTAAATCCCATTCTCAACTTCTTTCTGTTGTATTAGGCAACAAAATGCCGCGTTACAGAGACCTATTTTTCCGAGAAGATTTCCACAAACTTGAGTTGAGATCAAAACCTGGCGAAAGAGAAGCGATTCAAAACGAGGAAACTAAAAAAGATCATGGATCTGAAAGGGTAACGATACTCTTTACTTTAGGTTACGTTGTCAATATTTTTGTCTAAAACTAAATATTCCGCTTGGGACAAATTTCAAAAGATACGACACATGCTTCCTTGTAAAGAGAGGATCAAGCAATGAAAACTGAATCCCAGCCCATTCAGGTCTTATCCCTTCGAAGTAACGCTCGGAATCTGGACGTGTCACCTTCATCTCGTATTTTGCCTCAATGAACTAATCGGTAAAATACAGCCCAAGTGGAAGTTAGATTCCCTCAGCCTAAACGTATCTCGTCTGTTACCTAATCCTTTGGAATAAAAGATTAGGTCTGATTCCTTTCACCTTTGTTTTCTTTTCTTTTTGGGGGAGACATTTGACATTCACCGTCACACTTAGCTCCTGTAAGACAAACATGTTTATGACCGAGAAAGAATCGTTGTTTTTTTTTTTTTTCTATTCTTAAACTCATGATCGAACTAAATTTTTCTTAAAATGAAATCAACTTTAATTTCAGAACCTTACGTGGTGCAGCCAGGAAGGATCTTCTCCAGTGCCTTGAAGTAAACTTGGCGAAAACGAAGAGTTGGAGGTTACGAACGTAGGAAACCAAGGACTTATTCCATAGAATTTTGTCGAAATATTCCGATTTGAAAGCGTTTTACGACATTTTAGAGGCTGTGTTCGCTGTGAAGCTAGTGACTGTTTAGAACCATAGTCATGATATTCAGCAGTCGTGTAAAAAAAAAAACCCAGAATTAATTAGCTTATTTGAAGTATCAAGGTCAACCGACGTTTATAATTTAATGATAGTGTTTACTTTTTATTTCCTGCCTTCACTTAAGAACCATGCTGAATAGAAAAGGAACAAATCGGTTTTCAAGTTAGATTTGATATCTTATTATTACGCATGTCCAAGTGCCACTCCCTATTCTTTGCGATATCAGGCGGCACTTCTGACTGAGGCAATTTTAAGTAAACAGAATCACTCCATTAACAAGCTTGTGTAGCAACTATCTCTTTTTGAGCCAGACGACAGAAGGGTTGGCTGAGCGAAATTTACGCGCAGGTATGGATAAAAACCCTCAAACCACCCGTTCTAAAGCGATGAAGGTGCTTTTCAACTTATAAAGGAATTCATATGCTGAGGTTTGGACTGCAAATCTTTAACGGTTGATTTTTGGGGGAATATGTTCCTTAATTCAGTTAGCCTTCTCAAATTTCTAGATACAGATATAAAGTCACCCCTGTATACAACGGCCAAATATAAGGCATTTACAAGAAAACCACCTGATAATTTTCCATTTTATTTACTATAGGGTTGACGTGTATATCACGGTCACTTTAATGTTGCAGACACGGTCACCTTTACATTTTCTGAATCCACAAGTCCATTATTATGCACCTGTATAAAACGGTCACTGAACTGGATTACCATAAGCGAATTGTTGTCAACATTGTAGCTATCGGGGCAGGGGTATCAATGAACACAACTACAAATACTATATGGCATCGCCTATGTCCAGAACGTGCTTGGGAAGTACAGTAATAGAATTGCAGGAGAGGCTCAAAATCTCTTTCAAGCTTTTTTTTTTGTCTCCATACTGCAGTAGCACCCGTATTTTCTGAAATAGAACAGCTGTAATTTACATTGAAAAAATTGAGGGACATCCTGTATAGGATCAAGCTTCGCGCTCTGAAATCTCAGAAAAATATAACTTATGTTTATTTCTCTTTACTGTTAAGCAAAGGGTTGAAGAAACGCTTTTCCTAAAAACTTAGCGCTTAATTGAGTTTACAGTGAAATGAAATATTTTGTGGCTTCTGCCCCGTGTTTCTTACGTTGCTCGTAATTGCTATTGTCAAAAAAAATAAATTGAGTGGTTATTCTCACATCAAAACGTTTGAATTTTATAAGAGTTCACGGGAAACCTGTAAATAAAGGTCCCGAAGCCAATTCCCGAGGTAAATTTTTATATACAGGTTTGACTGCTTGTATATACACGCCTCTTTTTGAAGTGGTGGTAGAATGCGTCGATTTCGTCTTTGTGTATATTCTAGTGTTACCCACAACCCTAGTGTGATGAAAATCGATTCTAGTGTTGGCAGTTTAGCAGAAAATCGCGCGCGTGCCATCGGCATGTTTCATATATTGAAGAATGATACGTGAGCGCGCGTAGATATGGAATTTCTCTTCGAGTGTTTAACTCGATAGCTCACTCGTTCGCTGCGCTCACGAGTGAGATGTAGAGTTGAACACGAGAGAAAGAAATTTCATATCTACAAGCAACCATGTATTATTTTGTTTATAAACACAATTGCCCTTTGCGGACAAGAAAAGTCGACGTTGTTAATGAAAGGAAAAAAAAGGATCGACAGTCCGCGAAAAAAAGTCGTAAAGTGCGTTGGCGATAGGGCTCATGAAGAAAAATGCGTTGAATCATTAAAAAGAACAAACGATGGGCGTAACTTTCAATTTACAAAATTCTCAGTTATTGACTTTTCCTTGCCGACTGCCGAAATTTATTCAGGTACACAGCCAAACTTGGCTTGTGGCAAATCTTCCACTTGTCGATTTTCGTTCTAAGCCACGGAAAATGCCATTACCAAAGCCACTGAGTAGGTAACTTTCGGTATTTCTTCCCCTTCTAGGAAATTTTAAAAGTCACTGCCTACCTGCAGTAATATAAATCTTCGAGCGTTTTAGCACCCATAATCCGAGAAAAGTTCGACAAACGACCTTGGATTGAGAATGGTGAGGGTTTTTCCATTCGTTCATCAACATGTAAGAGTGACGCGAAAGGCGCGTAACGTGTCAGTAACTGATTGGCGATATTAAACACACGTGAAAAATTATCATATCTTTTCACGTGTCGTTACGGCTTTTCTCAGGGCAGGAAGTCCTTGAATAACAATGCAGTTTGTATGATAAATAGAGAATAATACATGGGCGCGCGTAGATATGGAATTTCTCTTCGAGTGTTTAACTCGCCAGGTCACGAGTGAGCGCAACTAACGAGTGAGATGAAAAAAGTCAACTAATTAATGAATGAAAATAAAAGAATTGACAATCCCCGAATAAAAATTGTAAAGTGCGTTGGTGCTAAGGCTCAAAATGAAAAAATGCGTTGAAACAACATAAAAATAAACAATAGACATAATTTTCAAAATACAAAATTCTCAGTTACGGTTTTTCTCAGGGCTGGAAATCCTTGTATAACACCGTAGTTGATATGATAAAAATATTTATCACATATGAAATATTTCTCATAGCACTTAGTCACAAGAGATAAGAGATGTACTCAGTGCGATTTTGCTTTTAACTTTTAATTAACTATTAATTTAATAATTTTAATTAATTTAATCTAACTTTTAATTTTGCTTTTGGGCTTCCACCACAATACAAATTACACACCAATACTTAAGAAAACTGTCTTTGATTAATGAACAGATGCCCTACATTAATTTCTTAACAATGTGGAAGAAAACACTAAATTTATGACAGGACTGATCCCAACTATTTGTGTACTACTCAAAATTTTCAAAAAAAGTTGAAATATTCAGTCGAAATTTGCTCCAATTTTTAAATGGGCTAATTTCTTCAAACAAATAAAAGATATTTTGAGTATTCATCAAGAATAATATGATTCAAAATTCCTTCCCTAAACTTTTGAATACTTTTCAAATTTTGAAACCTTCTCTTTTTCCATAAATCATCACCTTCGCATTTCTCAGGATGTGTTCCGTGAAAATGTATTTTACAATAGTCCAGCATTAGTATTACACGTTTAGTACTGGGACTTGTGGACTAACGATTTTCAAGGGATTGGTGCACAACTAAATTGGTCAGTCCATAAATCCTATTTCCGACAAAAACCTGAAATCAATCGCTTAATTTCCACACGCTTCTTCCCACGTTGGTTGCATGTTGGTTCCATTTGACAAATATTATTTTTTGATAGGTGTTTACGTTGGATAAGGTTTTATGACAATCAGACAAGCTTTGCAGTTGCTTAGCGCTAACGAAGCGTTGTCACGAGTGACGTGTGAGTAGCTTATTGGCGATAATTCACGTTGTTGTTTCGATTAAAATCTTGTCTTCTCGAGGTTAAAAGTCATTTAGCTGGCTTAGTTAGCTAAAACAGCAATTTTACTGGACTTCTAGTAAAATGCAAGGCACCTCTGCCCAAACAGCATAAAACCTGCAAGGCACCTCTTTTACACGTTTGTTTCCCTGTCACATTCATCCTTCAAAGAGTCAGGGGCGTAGAGTGTATCAACTCGGCTGTATTCATTGCCTTGTTTCTTGGAAGTGTCCTCATGTGAGGGGGGTCTGATCCCAACAGCTGGTCTCCAGCAAAGCAAGGACAGATGAACAGGTAGAATACACAAGCCGTGGAGGAGACCGAGCACGACGATGCCGAAGAACATTTTAAAGAATATACGGAAGATCTGTGATGCGGCAAATGCAAGAACGACCATGCCGAGGAAAGTACTGAATCCTAAGAAACAAGTAAATAAAAGAAGGAAACCAAATTAAACAATGCTAGAGCGCTTGCAAAATGGTCACCTTTTTTTTACAGTGTGGAAGTAACTCGATTCTAAAGAAAATTCAGAGTGTAATTGAATAAATCGTTGTGTTGAACCACACAGAAAAAAATAACAGTCACGACAAGTTTACGTCCAAATGAAGGAGAATCTGTAGTTTTCCTTCATTGCGTTCGACTTGCTACCGAAATATTTATGAGAAAAAACTGCAGAAGTGAGTCTAAAGTGTGCGAATTGAAGACGAAAAATAAACTTAAATGTACACGTGACTAACCTCCCATGAATACACTTGCTCCTAATGTACTCAAGGCATCTACCACTCGTCCATTGACTGTTGCTTCGTTTGACGTTATGTACGCATGCGCGATATGTGCGCTGTAATCGACTGCAAATCCAATGGCCATAACGAGGTTAACCATAGAAACAGAATTAAGGGAAACATTCCAGATGACCATCAGTCCAAATAACTCGCATATCAGGGCCGCAAAGTTCAGCACTACAATGAACGTAACTGTGCAGT